AGGCAAGAGCTTGGGTGGCAGGTGACAACAGGGACGCTGCTGAGAGCCATGTACAGACAGGAGGCCCGAAGCCAGCTGAGTGACTGAGAGGCTCCTCTCTCTGAGCTTGGCTAGGTCTTTCTGGTGGAGATTCCTAGACATCTGCTTAGATGTAGACCCAGCAGAGACGAAAGCTTGTCTGACTTCTGGCTCCTTTCTCCGTAAATCATCACTGTTCATCCCACCTCCTGATCTCTCCAGGTATCTCGGGGACAGAGCCATCGGGCCCCAAACCACCCAGCCTAGACCCAGCAAGAAGCACTGCTTCCCTGTGTATTAAACACACATGCACACTCATAGCATGTGATCCATGCCAGGCACCGTTAACAATATTTTTAAAATATTAACTTTATACGTATTTTTAAATTTTCAGTTATTACTCCCAATTTACAGATGAGAAAATGGGGTTTGTCAAGAGCGTTTTTCAAGAGGTTTAGTGACTTGTCCCAGGTCATGCTGCCAATCGGTGACTGAGCTAGGACTAGAACTCAGGCAGCCTGGGACTAGAATGCACACCCTTTGCCCACTCAACTGGGTGGCCAAATATGCTGTCTGCTCTTCAGGGTGAACCATGTCTCAGAATAAGTGGCAGTCAAGCCATTCATTCCCTTCTGGGAAAAACCCATTTTCACCTCCCAGGTCGAGTCTTGGCTCCTGACCCCAATCTGACAATCCCCAAATAGTCCCATAGTTTATAAAAGTCTGGACTACTCAGCCTAATCTTTGATCCACCGCATAGCATCTTTACGTAAATATACATTCCGTTTGGTGTCACGACATGTCGTAGACCCCTGATGGCACCGGAAGTCGATGCAAAGCCTATTGCCTCCTGGCCTTTGATAATGGCGCCTCCTGCTTGGTGTTGGAAAAATCCCTGATGGATGTGGACACAACCAGATCCGGATACCCAAACCGTATTTAGTCATACATAACACTTCTGACACCAAATGAGATTTTTCCCTCCTGGCACCAAATAGCAGCACCTCTTCTAACACTACCTCTCCATCTCTCTGACACTATCTAACAGGAGTTAGATATGAGCTCATAGTTAGGGCTCCGAACCATAAGTTGCCCGTCACAATCCCAGGGCCTCCCATACTTCTGACCGACTGGCTATAAAGCAGGGGTTCCCTTGACCCTCTCTTTAGATTCAATGCCTTGCTAGAACAGCTCACAGACTCAAGACGCCGTTTTACTTGGGTTTACCACTTTAATTATAAAGGGTAAGGCTCAGGAACAGCCAACCAGAAGAGCTGTGCAGGGCAAGGTATGGGGAAGGCGGATGGAGCTTCCACACCCTCTGAGTGCCCTCTCCTAGTACCTACATGTGTTCCCCAGCTTGGAAACTCTCCCAACCCTGTCATTTAGGGTTTTTTATGGTGGATCCATGACATGGGCATGGTTGATTAAATCACTGGCCACGGGTGATGAGCTCAGTCTCTGGCCCCCCTCCACTCCCCAAAAGTCAGGAGGCAGGACTGAAAGTTACAACCCTCTAATCACACCTTGGTCTGCTTGGTGTCCAGCCCCCATCTTGGTTCTGTCTAGGGGCAACAAAGAGTGACCCTGTTTTGAGCAAAAGAGGCTCCTGTCACCCACACATTCCCAGGGGTTTCGGAGCTCTGCTGTCAGGTATCAAGGACAAAACCCAAGAATATATTGTTCTTATTGGATTACACTAAGAAAATCTCCTGGAATCATACGCCCCTTCTCCAAAATGTGACAAACAACAAAACCTTGTGGGACCAAAGACGCTCACTCAGGCTGACTACGTGCCAGTGTTGAAAGGAACCTGTGCAAGTGCCCAAGACAGACAAGTGGGGTGTCGCTGGGCCTTCCCTTGTCCATCATAAGGGGAGAAGACCCAGAGGGAAGGCAGGCTTAAAGTCTCCATTAACTTCATCCCGGTGCCCCTAACTCGTGAGTCCCTTGGACTTAGTACATTAGAAACTGCTGATATTTTATCCAGAAAGCCTGTGTTTGAGAGCAGGAATAGAGATTGCCTGGCGGCCTTTTGCTCTAACGATTGTTTTATTGCTTTTCCGACTCGCGTAAATCCCCAAGGATCAAATATTAGAAACTTTTGCTTTTTCTTTTTTACTGCACTCGATACCAAAATCTTTTTCTTCAGCACCTCTCTGCTGCCTCCTATCACCTCTACTTGGCATAAATAATAGAAACAAATTTTTAAGAAAGCACTGTGAGAATAGGTCGCTTGCATAAACTGGGTCAATCTGGAGCTACTATTTTCGAGAAACTTGCGTGTTTCTGCTCTAAGCAGAGATGTGACACAGATGGTCAAGGGAAGGGAGAAGAAGAAGAAACAGGGTGGGCTCACTTATACGAGACCACGTGGGTCCAAGGCGTCTGAAATGCAGACCCCAGACCTCACCATTTATGACGATAGCCCCTGGTGCCATCAGAGGGAAACCGAGTCACGTGAGGAGGTTTATAAACGGGAGTCTATCCAGGGGGAAAGACTCAGAGAGAGGACTTGGTTCCTGTCTTTAAATGTACACTCCCTTTTGCACGAAGAGTCTTTGTGCCTCCAAAGAGCGACACGGAGGGAGGCAGGTTTTGTTTCAACGTGAACTCAAAAGACGGGCTGTGAGCACACAGGATCTGCTTTCTCACCCGGCAGTAGGTTCGCCACCCCTGCAGGCATTCAAGTGGTAAAGGAAACTCCTCAATGGGACAGAAAACCTGACCACCTTTGAGCCCTCTCCTACAGCTGAGATTCAAGGGTCTGTGAAGACCAGAGAAGCTGGGCTGATTGATCAAACAGCAAGGTTAGGGAGCACAGAAATTGGAAGCACCGCCCCAGGATGGGTTCTTCTTGAGTAAAAAGCGCTAGCCAGCGCCCCCCCCCCCCGCCCCGCCCCACCACCACCACCACACACACTCCTCTGCTGAGCTGAAGGCTTATCTGACCATAATAATCCTACACTTGGGTGGTGCTTACTGGGGTCATTCTCATCCAAACGCTCTTCAGTGATCAACTGGGTTTACCCCGCTCCAGACTCCCAGATGTAGCTTGTGTGTAGTGGGGCTCGGATTTGAACCCTGAAAAGCTGGGTCCATGGGCCATGCTCTTAATTACTGCACCAGCCTGCCCCTAGACCATCAGAATACAGTCTATTACTTTCCTAGGGTCGTTGGAACAAAGCACCAAAAACTACGAGACTTAACAGAAATGTATTCTCTCAGAGTGCTGGAGGCCAGAATCCCGAAATGAAGGTGTCCGCAGGGACACTTTGCCTCCACAGCCTCCAGGGGAGGGTCCCTCCTTGCAGCTCCAGCTCTGGTGGCCCCAGATGCTCCCTGGCTTATGAGTGCATATTACACTCCAATCTCCGCCTCCCCTCTGTAACTCTCTTCTTTATAAATCATCAGTCACACTGGATTAAGGCCCACCCTGGTCCACTATGACCTCATCTTAACTCGACTGCATCTGCAAAGACTCTGTATCCAAAAACCATCACATTCCCGGATACCAGAGTTAGGATTTCAGTGTATCTTTTGGGAACACAATTCAGCCCACAGCCTATATACTAGCAGACAAGAAGCAGCTAGAAGTGCCGACTCAGGCTGGCGGTGATGTTCTAGGAAAAATGACCAAAGCAGATTGTCCTTACTGCTCTGCCTGCCCCATTTCTGTTTACTCTGTGATGCCACAGGATCCTCCCCACCGCCGCTGTGATTCATTCAGTGCGGCCAATGAAAGCTTTTACTGGGACTGTGCATGCGTTCCGTCCAGATGCACACAGGTCTTGCTCCTCTGATGGAGGGCAGGAATACTGCCTTGTCACGGAGCTAGGGAGTTGCCAGCTTTGAAGTCAATGAGAATCCAGCCACACACAGGAATCCAGCCACGAAGGAACTGAGCTTGGGTTTGGCTCTTTCACCTGACTCCTGTCCTGTCTGCTTATGTCCTCAAATCATCCACCTCCCTACCACCTCCCCCACACACTGACAAAACACATCTCTTGTAAACTTCTAGAAAGAAACTTTCCTGGCACCCAGGGATGCACAGTATTTGGGGCCATAGTCTCTGCTCAAAAACAAACGAGATCACTTAAGTGTACTGCGGGCATTTATTTGAGACCGTGTTTATAATATTCATGAATACAGAAATGAGCAGCCATCTCCCAAAATCCCTCACGCAAAGAACTGGCACTCTCTTTGCTGTGGGTGGAAACTGCTTCTCTTGCAGTTTCAAAAAAAAAAAAAAAAATCCTACCCAGAAGAAAGAACATAGTCTATGGTCTCGGAAGGAAAGTTTATCTGCATAGCTCAAGTACTAAACTCTTCCATACTAGGCTAAAGTGTTAGATGGTATTCCAAAACATCCCATTTGTAAAAGAGGAAATGTCTCGATACGGTGTAAGGGTTTGAATCCCAATAATAGTGTTCATACAGCAGTAAGTACAGGACAACATCACAGCTTCCGTTCAATGTCTGCATCGTGCCAGCCAATGTTCTGAGGATTTATGATATCGCGTATTAATCGCAATTCTTAGAAGAGCTTCTGAGTTAGAGAAGTTTACTCCCCTTACATAGATGTGGAGGAGGCTCAGTTCGGGGAGAGTACGGAAGTGACTTATACTTCCGCCAGCAATGCAGGAAGATGGAAACTGCTGGATTGGGAAATGCTTTTGTAACAAAGGCACAAAAGTGAAATGGCAATGCTCGTGTCACTTGTTGAAAAACAGCTCTGGAGACCATAAAGGTAATTCAGTATTTGAACAAAACTCTTAGGATGGTAAGACAGCGGTTTGTGTGAATTCCCCAAATGCTATCATTAAAACATTAGTGATGAAAGTCACCAAAAACTGCTAACTATCATAATATTTATTTAAATTTACTAAATTTATTGCCAATTACCCTAACAGCATATGGTGATTTCTAAATATACAAGTGGAAAAACAGCTAGTAAACGCACAACTGAGTCAGCCTGGAGATAAGTTTCCATTTAAATTTCTTTTATTTTTATTCTCTATATTTTGAGTAATTATGATAATTAGAAAATTAGCTAATAAATTATGATCCTTTAGCATAAAAAGTCTGTTATTCCTACTTAAGCCAAGAAATGAATTGTGAGCAGTTTCCCTTGTGATCGCCTATTTAAAAAAATATATTGTCCAATCCCTTTTATTTTGTGCCCATTTAAAAGCTGCTAGAAGAAAGGTCTTTGAAATATTTTTTACCTCCCACTTCCTCATGCCTTGCATTTAAATGTCACGTGCTGTTATTTTCCGCTCTCAGGATGGCTAAACCAAGATCGGTGAGCCAAGGAGAGGAAGACGCAGGCTACTGGGGCTTCCTGGGAAAAACAAAAACAAAAACAAAACACTTCTTCCTTTTGCCGAAAGAGAAGTATTCAGGGGTGAAAGGTCTTTCCTAGTTTGACCCCTTCTTCCCGCTTTAAATGGGGCAGTGTGAGGCTGCGTTCCTTGGATCGTGGGGGCCTTCTCGGAACAGTGAGGTGACAAACCTGGAGGGAAAAGTCACGGGAGATGGTGGGGGGAGGGGGGACATGGCAGAGTGGAAATGTGTACCCTCAGGACATCCTTAGGGCGCGCGATCAGACCCGGAATTGCCTCCAGAGTTATGTGACACGATGACATTAATGACAGCACAGGTCGTTGCCAGTGGCTATTCTGTTTCTTGGTCTGAAAACGCAATTCACTAATCTGAGCATGCTACTGTCCTCTGAAGCCTTGCTCCAAAACAAAGTCCAAGGCAGCAATGGAGTGTTTTCCAAAGGCTTCCTTCCACGAAAGTGTCCCTAAAGAGCGCGGGGCGGGGGCGGGGGCGGGGTGTTCTGGCTGAGGGATGGATCTGAGCTGCCAGACTCAGGCAGAGCAGGCGTTCGGAGTCCCTTATTCTGTCTTAAAGATGCATGTCGATTTGCACGCTCCTCTACTCAGTCCTCATGGCCAGTGGGTAAGCTTTGTCCAGCACCCACCTGCTAACGTAGAGAACAGACAGGGCGGAAGAGGGGCACCGCCACGGGCTCGCGGGGACCCGGCCTCCACTTGCTCCGAGGAGGGGTACCGCTCCCCCCGGCCACGCCCCCCGTGTCAAGTCGACCTGACCGCGCCGCCACCTGCCTGGCCCGGCCTGCGGCTGCACCGCGCTCCCTGAGCTGCCCAGGGCCGCGCAGGTAAGGCGCCTTCTGCGGGGGTCCTCTGAACTGGGCTCTACCCTCAGCGTCTCCGAGTCTTTATTTCGGACGGCGAACAGGAGGCACAGGTGCAACGAAACGATGTTCATCACTTTCTGTGAACCCCTCGTTGCTAACCAGCTTCAGAACCTCCGCAGTCAGCCTCCGTCAGCCAGCCCGGACTGGTCCTGCCGCGCGCCCCCGCCGTCCCGCGCGCCCCCGCCGTCTCTCCGGTCAGGCCCCGCCCCGCCCCGCGCGCCCCCGCCGTCTCTCCGGTCAGGCCCCCGCCCCGCGCGCCCCCGCATCCCCCGCGCGCCCCCGCCGTCTCTCCGGTCAGGCCCCCGCTCCGCCCCGCGCGCCCCCGCATCCCCCCCGCGCACGCCCCCCCCTCGCCAACATTCCCGCGCGCCCCCGCCGTCTCTCCGGTCAGGCCCCCGCCCCGCCCCGCGCGCCCCCGCATCCCCCCCGCGCACGCCCCCACCCTCGCCAACATTCCCGCGCGCTCTCGCCGCCTCTCCCTTCACCATCAACCCCCTGAGCCCCAGGCTGATGCCCGCGCCGCCAGCCGCTGCCCGGATCCTCACCAGGCACCGCCCCCACCTCCGGCGCGCCCCACGCACGCACGCACGGCGCGGGCCCGAGCCCGTAAGGAGCGCGCAGGCGCACATCGGGCCCCGCGCTTTTCGGAGGCTGCGGGTAGGCTGGGAGGCGGGGAAGCGCGGGAGGGCCCGGACCGGGACCGTGGCGGGGGTGGGGGTCGGGATGGGGGCCAGGGGCCCGGGCCAGGCCAGGGGTGGGGGCCGCAGAGGGGACGGGGCGTGTGGAGGAGCCTGGCCCCGGCCAGGGGTGCTGCGGAGCAGGCGGGCGGGCGGGAGGGAGTGGGGGTCGCGGAGGGCCCGGCGGCCGGGGCGGGCAGAGCCTGGGCAGGGGGTCCACGGGGCCCGCTGAGGGAAGGCGGGCTGCTCGGAGCAGGCTCTCGCAGGCTCCGTGCCCGCGGCGCCCGCCGGTTTGGGGAGGTGGGCTCCTGGGGGGCGGGCGGCTGCTGCTGCGGCGGGGCGCCCACCTCCGTGGAGGGGTCCTTGCGAGGACTGGGGACGCCTAACGATTGTTCTAGTATTTTCTAAGTGCGGAGGACTGTGGTGGGTGCTTTGCAGACCTTTCAGGCCCCGGGAGCTGAGTCGTGTAACTGTGCTCCTGACGCACAGCTTCAGGAGTTGTGCTCAGGGTCCTGGCTGGTGGGCGGGTCCTGAGGCCGGTCTGCTTCTGGGAGTTAGAAATTCCTGCAAAGGGCTGCCGGCTCGCTGTCTGGCGGGATTTTAGTAGTTTTTATTGCAGCGGATACCCTGTTCTAGATACTGGGAGAGGACAGATGAATAGAAAACGGGTCCTGCTTGCAGAAGCCAACTGTCCAGATAGATTCCACATCCTCACAATAAGCAGAAAATTATCAAAATAATAATAAAAAAAAAGATTGAAATGCAGTTCATATGTGTTAATGAGCCGCAAATTTTAGGTGGAAGAAATGCCGTATGAAAGTGACTGATGGTAATGGGGGCAGCGGCTGTGTCCTTGGCCAGGGCTGGCCACACAGGTGTTTGCCTGTCCCTGTCCACATTTGTGGGGTAAATGATTGAGTTGACAGGAAGTAGACTTGGGAGGTGAATTTCCGAGAAAAGGATGAAGGTGGAGAGGGAAGGAGGGTGTCTTGGGAACAGAGACAGAGCACTGAGCTGATGGAGGAGTCCCAGGATTGCCGGTGACAAAGGGGCATGAAGCCTTGCAGAGGAAGAGGGTGCTCCTCCTGATGAGAAAGGTGGTAAATGTTTTCCAAGTCACCTCTCGGTTGCTCACTTCCAGCATTGCCTGAAAGTCTTAAAAGCTAAAATGGTAGAGTGGAAAGAGGGATGAAGGGCTTGTCAGAAGTCAGTTCTACGTTTGACTAGTTTAATTTTAGCTTTATTGCAGAAGCAAATTAGAATCTCACTGGGCCTTTCAGATTTGTAGGGTCTTAAGGGAGACACAGCTGTATTGTGTACTAAAAGAACCTACAGATTATTAAGCTATATTTATAGGCAATTTGGGAGGTAGATTTTAAAATACAGGAGTTCTTGGTTTTTACAACACTCCTTTATTGTAATCCTCCTAGGGAGCTTAGAAGTTTTCTTACACGTTTTTCTTGTGGATGGAGTGATGAATTCCACACGTCTAGCAATATGATTACAGTCACCTATAATCCTGGTAAAATAATTTGACTGTGAGGAGGCTTATAAAAATAACTTGAGAGAAGAATCCTAAAGTAAAAGCACTTTACTAGCACACTGTTTAGAGTGTTTATACTTAAGCAGACTTGTTCTCCTATTTCATTTACAAGGTCAGTTTCACTTTTTAATACTTCACGTGAAACTGGAAAATTGCGAGATTCTGGGGCATCCTGTTTTCGGTGCTCATTGATGAGGAAGTCCTTAAAAACATTTGATAATGTGGCAGTTGTTGAGGGTTTTGATCCGTGCTGATGTGACCTTCGGTGACAGCACCAAGGAGCGGCTCATGTGTGGTGACTTGCACATTCCCTGTGTGAACGTCCCCGAGTGTAAATCGCAGCCCTGTTGCTTGCTGGCTTTGTGATCTCCAGTGAGCTCCCAGCCTTAGTTTATACAGTTGTGTAACAGGCATGAGAATGGTACTTTTCACAATATTTACATACTCATTATTTGACTCGATTCTTGTGATGATTTCTCTCACTTTACAGGTCAAACTGAGGGCCCAGTGATAGAGGCTTGGCAGAGGTCATTCATCTGGGGTTTTTCTTAGAGACGGAGCTGAACCCCCAGGCTTGGTGTGTCCTGCTTTGTCTGTAGTTCCATTGCTCTAACGTGTTGCCTTAATTTTGCTGATTATGAGACTGACGCGCTACCTACTGCGCTAACGAGGCACCTAATTTTGCTGATTAATTTGAAACCTTTTCCATCTAAGCCTTAGCAGTGTTTTCCCCATTTGCGGGGAAAATGAAAAAACTCAAACCATTTAACCCATAACAAAGTAGTATTAATTAAGTCTTTATCTTGAATGCCTGAAATCTGTGTTTACCTAGCTATTTCTTGTGTAAGTGTTCTGTCCTTATATGTGAGCAGTCCACTATACTTCCTTCAGATGAGCAGAGATTTAGAAAATATGCTTACGGGATTGAGTCCCGCATCAGGCTCCCTGCTCAGCAGGGAGTCTGCTTCTCCCTCTGACCCTCCCCCTGTCATGTGCTCTCTCTCTCTCTCTCTCGCTCTCTCTCTCAAATAAATAAATAAAATCTTAAAAAAAAAAAGAAAATATGCTTACAATATTATATCTTTGTTTCTTTCTTCTTGGTACTGACTGTTTTTCATTTTTGTCATTTGTTAGCAAACCTCCAGCATGCAGGCCTCCAGCTCCAGGTCTGTGCACCTGAGTGAATGGCAGAAGAATTACTTTGCAACTACGTCTGGCACATGTACCCCAGGACAGAAGGCAGATGCGTACCGAGCACAGATACTACGCATTCAGTATGCATGGGCAAACGCTGAGCTCTCCCAAGGCTGCGCCACCAAACTGTTCAGAAAATATGCAGAGAAATACTCTGCAGTTATTGATTCTGACAGTGTTGAGACTGGCTTGAATAACTACGCAGAAAGCATTTCAACTTTAGCAAGATCTCAGCAGACTGACAGTGACAAGTGGCAGTCTGGATTGTCAATAAATAATGTTTTCAAAATGAGTAATGTACAGGAGATGATGCAAGCTGGCAAAAAGTCCAGAGACTCTCTGTTGGCACCTGCCAGTGCATCGGTAGTAATCCATAAAGAGGCTCTTGTCCTCGATCCTCCTAAACTTAGTGTTTGTGGGGGTTCTGGGGAGAGTGGCCCATTAACTAACGCAACTCCTGATACGAACAGGACCCAAGACATCCCAGAGAGCAGTCCTTCGAAGTGTCCTCAGGATGCTCAGCCACCTGTGCTGACTAACACCAGAAAGACCTGTCCTTCATCCTTAACACCGTTTGGTGACTTTGCCACTGCAAAAATCCATGCCACACCATTATTTGGAAATGTCAAGAAGGAAAATAACAGCTCTCCAAAGGCCAATGTAGGACTAAATATGTTCTCATCTAATCAGTCTTGTTTGCCTTCTGCCTTTGAAAATCCACGGGAGAGAAAAACTTTTTATGGTTCTGGCACCACTGATGCCCTTTCTGCCCCAATAGTGAATAAGGCTTTTAGTAAAACAGAGGATAATGGCCAAAGGGAAGAGAGTAGCCTGCCTACTTTTAAAACTGCAAAAGAACAGTTATGGATAGATCAGCAAAAAAAGTACCACCAACCCCAGCGTGCATCCGGGTCTTCCTACGGTGGTGTAAAGAAGTCTCTGGGAGCTAGTAGGTCCCGAGGAATATTTGGGAAGTTCGTTCCTCCTGTACCTAAGCCAGATGGGGGAGATCAGAATGGGGGAATGCAGTATAAGGCTTATGGCGCAGGACCTGCAGAGCCAACACATCCAATTGATGAGCGGCTGAAGAACTTGGAGCCAAAGATGATTGAACTTATCATGAATGAGATTATGGATCATGGACCGCCCATAAGCTGGGACGATATTGCAGGAGTAGAATTTGCCAAAGCCACAATAAAGGAGATAGTCGTGTGGCCCATGATGAGGCCAGACATCTTTACGGGTTTACGAGGACCCCCTAAAGGAATTCTGCTCTTCGGGCCCCCCGGGACTGGTAAAACTCTAATTGGCAAGTGCATTGCTAGTCAGTCTGGGGCAACGTTCTTCAGTATCTCTGCTGCTTCTTTGACGTCTAAGTGGGTAGGTGAGGGGGAGAAAATGGTCCGTGCATTGTTTGCCGTGGCAAGGTGTCAGCAGCCGGCTGTGATATTCATTGATGAAATCGATTCCCTGTTATCTCAACGAGGAGATGGTGAGCATGAATCTTCTAGAAGGATAAAAACGGAATTTCTAGTGCAGTTAGATGGAGCAACCACATCTTCTGAAGATCGGCTTCTAGTGGTGGGAGCAACCAATCGGCCCCAAGAAATTGATGAGGCTGCCCGGAGAAGGTTGGTCAAAAGGCTTTATATTCCACTCCCAGAAGCTGCGGCTAGGAAACAGATCGTGATTAATCTGATGTCCAAGGAGCAGTGCTGCCTCAGTGAGGAGGAAATTGCCCTGGTTGTAAGGCAGACCGATGGGTTCTCGGGAGCTGACATGACACAGCTTTGCAGAGAGGCGTCTCTCGGGCCCATTCGCAGTTTACAAACTGTTGACATCGCCACAGTAACACCCGATCAAGTTCGGCCAATAGCTTATATTGATTTTGAGAACGCCTTCAGAACCGTGCGACCTAGCGTGTCTCCTAAAGATTTAGAGGTCTATGAGAACTGGAACAGAACTTTTGGTTGTGGGAAGTGAAGGGGACACACGGGACACTTGAAATCTAAGGATGGCATCTTTGTAATGCAGCCTTTCCCACTTTTTAGCATGGGAAACTGGGAATTTATTAATTGTAATTTATAGTGTATATTTTGAATTCTATACCTCAAATAAAATAGTAACAGCTTAAATTTTACAATTGATTGACTTAGCCTATGTTAATAGAAGCTTGAGCTTTCTTCCAGGTGTTACCTGATTGGGAGCCTCTTCCTACAAAACATGCATGAACGTTTTTCTCGGGTTTCAGAGCGGTCTTTGTTTTCAAGATGTACAGTAGGATGACTAGTGAGCTCAGATTGAAAACCCAAAAATCTCATTTGTGTCTGAGGTGGCATCTGATCGGTACGCATCTTCCGTTGAAGAAAGGGTCTTTTCTGAAGACCCATGTAACTCTTAGCATTGGCCAGTGTCGTGGCTGATGCTGGAGGCAGCTTACTGGCCGTTGAATGGATTTACGATCTCCCCAGACGCCAGAATGAAGGTGCCAGTGGTTTGTTCTGGTTTGTAGCTGCTTACAGCTTTCTTCTATTACTTCTGTGCTCAGAAGTAGCCAGGTGTAATCCGATACCAGACACATATCCACAGAATCGAGAGATGAAGAATGCTGTGTCTTGCCAGGGGGTAGATGATGTTTAAAATTAATATTTTATTTGACACTACTTCACAGCCCTAGCATTGCTGTCTCAAACATAAGTGTTTTCAGATTTTCGTAATGGATCATTGTGTTTTATAACGTAACAGGTGTTCATTGTAGAAGAGTTGGGGAAGAGAGACGAACAGCAAGAAAGTAAGAACCACTGCCGCCCCACCACTTTGGAGAACACAGTGTCATTTCTTCCAGGCCTTTTGCACAGCAGAGGGATTGCACCACGTTCTCCCCTGTAGCCTGCTTTTTCCTTTACATCACCATCGCTTCCCGTGGGAACGTGCTGTGTTACCACATCTTCCCTCAGGATCCCACCATGTAGATGGACCGTAATTTAGCCAGTCCTCTTGGGGGCACTTAGGGCAGCACCTTAGGTTTCCCTTTTGTTCATTATACACAAAAACACCGAATGCCTTTGTGATCATTTTGAAAAAGTAAACACACATTTCTTGAGTAAAATTCTTGCATTAAAGATGCACAGTTTTAAGGCCTTTGGCATGTGTTCTGAACTGTCCCCTGGAAAAGTCATGCATATGTAGAATTCCCACCGGCACTGAGCCACAGTCCCCGTTTTCTGTGTCACCGGGAGCCATCACGCAGTTTTATTAGCATTCCTCTTTCATTCATTCAAACAGTACTGGATTCCGGATGGTGTTCCAAGGGCTGAAGGCAGAGCAGGGAACAGCAGACCGAAATCCTGGGTCTCATGTAGGCGACATTCAAGTTCTCAGGTTTTCTCTTGACCATGCTCTTGAAGAGAGGGTGTTTGACGCTTTGGATAGAGTGAGTTGAGACCGTTGTCTTAACTTTTATTCTTGGCCTGCCTTCTAGATTTGTGCTCCTTGAACAGCTTTGCTTTTGCCACTGTTACCTCTTCCCTTTGAAACATGTCATTGCCTTTTGTTAGAATTTGGACGTCTCTAGTTTTTAGTTAAATCTTTTAAAATTGTAAAGCATTTCATACATTACTTTGTCCTGTTTCATTTCTGCATAAACAGCACTATAAGTAACCTTGGATTCCTAAGTATTTCTACATTTTCTTCCCTGATACTTACTAATTCTCTTCCAGTCCCCCCCCCCCCCCCCCTTGGATGTTAGAGTTATGGCAGCTGACCAGATAGATCATCAGCAGTTGTGTAGGAGGTGTTTGTGTCTTAGTTCACTCTGTAGCTTGGTCTCACTGTTTACTGCGGGTGTTTTCTTGGCAGCCGCTCCCGACGCTCAGCTCTGACGCTCAGCTCCCCTGGTCACCAGCCACGGGGCCACTTTCCTTGAGCGGAATTTAGCTTAGCTTTTGTCCCAGAGGAAATACCCAGGGTGGCCCAGCTCACCTTGGATCAGGCAGAGCCCGTGTCTCTGTGAACTCACTTCTGAGGTGAGGTCTGCACTGTTCATGTAGGAATCTGATCTTGAAAGGAAGGATACAGCAGATATTTTGAAGCTAGAAAGAAAGTTTGAGCTGGAAAGTCACTTGGGGGTTGTTTCTGCCTGCTCCTTCATGGAAGCATTCTTTCTCTCAGCCTTCTGTGACTTGGAGAATGTTTCTGAGGCCTCTGGCTGGGAAACTTCCAGAAACTTAGATGAGATTTCTTTTTATCTCCACATTCTGATTGGGTATGAAAATCTGGGATCAGATTCTCTCCTCCTGAGGGTTTTCTTGGGGCTGCTCTGTCTCCACCATTGTGTCACTAGAGAAGTGGGCTCTAACTTGGTTTGTCGTTTCTTCGGGGGATCCATTTACTTCGTAGACACACACACCTTGTGCCAGTGCGTGACCTCACTTGTGTATCCATGCCTAAAAGTGTCGGCGGGAAAACAGTAGAGTCTTTAATATCAGTCCTTTTAAAATGTATATCATAGGGTGCCTGGGTGGCTCAGATGGTTAAGCTTCTGCCTTCAGCTCAGGTCATGATCCCAGAGTCCTGGAATTGGGTCCTGCATTGGGCTCCCTGCTGCTTGGGAGCCTGCTTCTCCCTCTGTCTCTCTCTCTCATGAATAAATAAATTAAAAAAAAATATGTATCATACAGCTGACTTCATTTCATGTGTATTTGGGAAATTGTCTTCCACTCTGTGGTCTCCTCCCATTTTGAAATTCTAATTCATTTCCTCAATTCTAAACCTCTGTAAAGTCCATCTCCACACTGACCCCTGATGAGCGGCGTCCTGGTAAAGTTTGCACCTGGGCTTTGGGTCCCGGCTCTGCAGGCCATGGACATGTTCAGCATCACTTCTAATGGGAGGATGTCTGCACCTGCCTTGTTGGAGAGTGAGGGTAAGATGCAGGTGTAGAACGCCTGGCTCGTGATGGCTCAAACATGATGCATCCTTCTGTCTGCCTTGACTCTGCTTTAATTGCCTTGAAGGATCATTTTCTTTTCAGCTACTTTACGTTGCTGTGTACTATAGCTTTTTCTGCTTACTATATGTGATATTTGCCTTTGATTACAGATACTGTGTCATCTAAACTAAATGCAGTAAATCTAATTAAAAGATATCTTTTAGTTTTGTTTCTCTTCGAGACTGAAGAACTTTTCGGTAGATCCCAGATTATGATTTTCCACTTACTCCTCTTTAAGTCTTATTTATTGGTTTCCAGAATTTTTAAGGGACATTTATTGGTCCCTAGTGTTTTTAAGAGACATTTTAAAACCCACCTGCAGACATCTGATTGGAAGACAGGATTCTGTCCAGGTCCATGGCAAAAGGGCAGGTCAAATAAGGGTACTTTTTTTTTTTTTTGAAGTTTTTATTTAAATTCTAAACATCCAGTCAGTTTACATGCAGTGTAATCTTAGTCCCAGGTGTACAATACAGTGATTCAGCACTTGCCTACATCACCCGGTGCTCACCACAGGTGCGCTCCTTTCTCCCCATCACCTCTCTCCCCATCCCCCACCCACCTCCCCTCTGGTGACCAGTAGTGTGTTCTCGAGAGTCAAGAGTCTGTTTCTTGGTCTGTGTCTCTTAAAGATACATTTTTTAACTTCACAGATTCCTGGCCCTTGACCTCAAATCTGGAGTTGGTGGTGAGCAGGCCAGTGTGGGACAACTGTTTAAAGTTTGCCTCAGGTGCCTGGCTGAAGGAGGCATCTTATGAGAATAGATGAGTCACCACTTCCAACTCTTGTCCCTAAATAAAACTTACCAGTGGGCTTTATAAAACAGCAATGACTAATCGTGGACAGTTGGTAATACCCCCTCAGGCGACTGCTTTCTTAGCTGTAAGAGTCAGGATGTTGTATTCGATAATCCTGAAGACAAGCTCAGATTTGCTATTCTGTTATCAGTTACCAAGTAGTTATCAATTTGACGAGTGCTTGCAGAGTACCAGGTGCTGGCACTGTGCTAAATACAAAAAAATATATAGTTCGCTAAATGTTACCTGTTTCAAGGTTACTAATTTGGCTCATGATAGAAACATATTCTTTACAGGAAGGAGCGCCTGGGTGGCTCAGTCAGTTAGGTGTCCGACTCTTGCTTTCAGCTCAGGACGTGATCTCAGGGTCATGAGATGGAGCCCCGTGTTGGGCTCCATGCTCAGCTCGGAGTCGTCTTGAGATTCTCTTTCCCTCTCCCTCTGTCCCTCCCACTTGTGCTCTTTCTCTCTCTCACAAAATAAATAAATAAAAAAAAACCAAACTAGGAAGACATGAAGGGAGAGCTTTGGTGAAAGTAAGCATAGTGTACCAATGTACCACTGAATATATGAATCATGTAAGAAAGGGGAAAAATTTTAAAACTAGGAATTCCACGTAGGGTGGCATTCCAGCTGTGGTTCAGGATGCACCAGACCCTGAGTGCTTGGCCAGCTGGGGAGTCTTGGCAACCAGCAGGGTACCTGTGACTGAGGGGGCCTGCCCAGCCTGAGAAGATCCTAGAGCTCTCCTCATCCATTCTTCCCAGAAAGAGACTCAGGCTAAAAATAGAGGAGTCTCCTCTTCCTGGGACACGGCCAGAGCAGGCATCCTGAAGAGCAGAGCCCATCGCCCCTTGTCTGCCCCAGACGAGTGGCAGGTGTGCAGCCCCAGAGAGGGACTCATTCACTTGGGGTCCCATCCTTTAGGGTCAGAGTTGCTCCTTATGATTGTATCTAAGATGTGCTGCCCACTTGCTTCTAGGAAAAACAACAACAACAACAAAAAACTACACCAGCTTCTTTTTCTCCCAGAACAGAATATCAGCTTAATAAGAAAAGGTCTAATATGAAGCTTTTCATTTACAATAGTGGACTAAGCCACACATTAACCTTTTCCACTTACATGTGCAGAATCTTCACTGAAAGGAAGAAATAAAGAGTGACTCCATCACAGGGGTGCAGGGGAGGGGAGACACCGTTTTCAAATAAGACATCTGTGGTGTTTCTAGTAGTTATGGGGCAAATGGCGTTGAGTTGTCGAGACCCCCGAGCTGAGACCAGTGATCTAACAAGGGCATGGGAGACCTGCTGAGGCTGGTTTCCTGGTGCCCTGGTGGTTCTGGAGCT